CTTTTCTTCAATTGCTTTCATGTCAGACATTTCATCGCTTGACAGTTTACTTGCAAAATTTGTCAGAAACTTTATACAAACTATTGATTAAAAAGAAAAAATATGTCCAATGTTAATGAAATAATGATGTTCTATAAAGCATGACAATACCACAAAATTGAAATAAATATTAAGAAAAAAAGGCATTTAGCCATGCAACATATACAAATACATTTGAGGCTTGAAGTTTTTTTCCCAATATATCTGTTTCCACAGCTGTTTCAAGCCTTCCAATTTTTTTCTGGGAAATGTCCAATATGAAGACTGAATCAAAGTAAGAGGGGTAGTTTACTTTTCCCTAAGGTTTTTCTTCCCAAGAGATAAGTTTTGATATAAAAATTTGAGTAGCAGTAAATGATTTTTACAAATTTTCTTGGAGTGAAAGTGTTACTACACACAGGCTTTGGTGTCTGTTTGAAACTCTCAACAGCTGTGAAACACAGTCCAAAGGAAACGTGACACACAGTTGAGACGACAGATGCTAAACAAGTGTAAACTATTGCTCTATTATTTCCTATTCCTGGATCAGTCCAAGAATGAGCTTGAGTTAGTAAAACATCAAGACTCCCAGATAAAGATCAACACCGCCTCAGTAAGCATTACATCATATGAGTTGAAAGTTTTAAAATGAACTAATACCAAAGATCATGCATTTGTACCACTCCACAAGATCGTTGCATGTAAAGACCGAAAGCTTAAATTTTTCATAAATTACTAAAATCTAAAAAATTAGTCAGACTTAAACTTTCACTGGATTTCTTTTTTATAAAATAAAAAAAGTACATTGAGTTTAGTATCTAGGTTGCAGGTCTTCAACAATTACGTTGTGTCAAAAAAAGGTGCCTTTGCAATTCTAAGGCCTAGAAAGTTCTCATAATTTCCCTGAACCCTTGGCCGGTCTGTTGAGTGAGATACAAGAACTCTTAATTATCTCTACATGTTTAAGTCTAGGTGAAGGCCTAACAACCGTACAGCCATACGTGTCATGTTATAAGTTTAGCTGAGTTTCACTTCCTGCCGCTTAAAGGTTGTATGTAAGATTTACCTTCACACTCTCCTTCTTTTAACTTCGCCTCTGTCAGTAAAACCTGACAGCCGAGTAAGGCGTTTAGTGTGAGAACAATAAATAACCACATCCTCAAGAAATTAGCTCGATCACACAAGTAAAACCATAAAATCACCGAAGCCTAATTCGTGTACACTCTTTGGCGTTAGCCGGTTGATTACGCAAATGCCAGTGCTATCGGTCTAGTTGGCGATCTCTGATTGGCTTAGATATCTCATCGGCCGACAGTTTTCATAGCCAGCGGTTTAAAAGGAAGAAAAAAGCCCGCATATTTATGACCAGCGTTTCAATTTTTAAAAACTCAGTCACCAGGCCTCGACTGCGGACAAGACGCTCATCCATATTGCTATCGCTATGGAAATAAAACTACGCAAATGGAAGGAAATGTTTCCCTAATCTGTTTTTGAAATCGAATGAAGATCGTAATGGTGGATCTAAGAAGGAGACAAGCTGTTAGTTGAGATGTCTTTGTCGTCAGTTTTTCCTGCCTTACCGGGTGTTTACACCCAAAAGCACAAGCAAAAGTTAGTTGACGTACATGTGTTGATGTTTGTTGCTCACCAATATATTTGTGGCTAATTAGCGCGATTCGAACCACTCGACAATTCTTGATGTTGACAACAGTACACAGAAAACTGTCAGCTTTTACGATGGGTCGTACCTTTCTTCTAAAAAATTAATGATGTTAATAATAGTTTGGTAAAATAACTTTCCAAAGAAATCAATTGATCATTGAACATTTGGCATGGATATTTCTAAACTTGTTTGTATTAACAACAAATTGGAAAATCTCTGATTCCGAGTTACATCATACTGGATGTCACAGATGATTTCTATCACAAGATCCATCTCGTTGTTAGCTTTATGTTTTCCGCCCAGTAGACATGAGTAGAGTATATTGTTTAAGAAAGATCGCTGACTTTTTTGAGATTTATGGTTCTTTAATAACACTGGATAGGATAAAATAACATGCTATATATGTGTATTTTATTAATAGAAAAATGTTCTTTATGATGTGGAAGCAGGTGGAAAAATAGAAGTAAAACAATAATTCAAATGGTACATTACCAAGCACTCTAAATAATAAGATTACAATCCTAACTGGTGGAAAGCAAACAAATCTTATATCCACAAGCATGGTCTCAGACAAGAAACCTGGACCTTTGCCTTGTGAATTTACCCTATATTCCTTAGCAGTGACTAGCATCCAATGTTTTCTCGCAGTATCATTCCTGAATCACACACTAAGGTTGCAAGAATTAAGAAAATGATCACCAACTTAAGAAGCTCTTGATTGTTAAACAAATTCTCATTGTCAGCACCATAAAATGTATAGGAAACAGTATGGAGAATTTGCATACTGATATGAAGGTGTGAAAGGTTAATGAACTTAACAAATTCATCATCTTGCTGCCAAGTTTCCACCTTAAATTTCAATATTGCTGGACCAGGTCTCCAATCTCAACTTTGATATTTTATAATTGTTAATAGCTCTCTTCAAGACACCATGGTCACAGTACACAAAAAATATGAAAAGCTGTTTCTACTATTAAGCAATTATTGGATGAGGTTGAGCATGATATCATGAATTATCAAAACCAAGGTCTGAGGTTCGATAATTTGTGATATCATGGGACAACCAAATTCAATCATTGTTTTATTATACATTTTTCAAACTGCAAAGGAAGACACTTTTCTTTGAGTTTGCTTAAGTATGAGAACACTACACAGATGAGGGGCTTGGAAACTAGGCAGACTTTGAAGTCAACATGATGAATGCAATATCCACCTAAGGTATTGCATTTGTAGTGGCAACTTCACACACAACTGTACATTGATTGAATGCTCTAATGCCCTATCAGATTTTTCATGATAAGTATAACCATACTACACAACGAGCTAGCAATATTGTGCTATTTGAGTCATTCTAAAGAAGACTTCTTACACATTTAAAGAAGATGAGCTTGTCACATAAGAATGAAGCAGTTTAGTGGACTTGAAAAGGTTTTGTGTGTAAATGTTCCATTGACAGATTCCTCTTTAAAATTGTATGGCATCTGAATGAAGAGCAATGCAAAAAGTCTGATTTCTAATGACAAAACTGTATTATTACATTTGTCCACCATGTGTAGGGTTCTGGAAACAACCAGTAATGCTGCAAGCTCTGTTCATTCCAAAAAGAGCAAAAATAAGCACCTGGCAGAAGCTGAGAAACAGAAGGCCGAAGCCGAAGTGAAGGCTGCAAAAGAGAGGGAACAGGTACCTCAGTAGTTTGTTGTGTTTACATACATACATACATACATACAACCTTTATTTATGTGTCAAATCTAAAATAGCAGTTATACAACCACTAACTGGGGACACTAAATACTACCTAAAAATTTGAGAAATTTAAAAATAAAACAATATATATGTACAATTTAAAATCTAACCTAAGTCTTACATAAAAGGCAGTTTTCACATTTACTATCAGTCAATTTAGAAACAAGGTCTATTCTACGTATGTTACATTTAAAAGATGATATGGATGTCAGTTCTCTTACATTTCTTGGTACAATTGCCCATATTTTGGGTCCCATATATCTAAGCGAATGTTTTCCAAAAGTGACAGTATTAAATCTAGGTATACCAAAATCATTATTACGCAGTGTGTACCTAAGTTGTGGAATTTGAAAAAGGCTACATATGTAATTAGGAGATAAATTGTTCTTTACCTTATACATAAGAATGGCTATGTCCTGTAGTCTTCTGTTCTGCAGTGTACTTAGGTTAGCCATGTCTAATAATTTATCATAACTACTCCCCTTATCACAGTAAACTGCCCTAAGTGCCCTTTCTTGAATACGTTCCAATTTTCTAGTATCACTCGCCCTACAAAAATGCCAGACAAGATGGCTGTATGTTAAATACGGAAGAATGGCTGCCTTAAACAACTTCAGCTTGGTGTCTGTTGGTATCATATTCCTGAGCCTCATCAGGACTCCAACACGCTGGCTACTCCTCTTACAAATGTTAGCAATGTGTTCATCAAATTGAAGCCTATTGTCTATATATACCCCAAGAAGTTTTAAACACTTGGTAGATTTAACTTCATTGTCATCAATTATAATACTATCCATATCATTATTTTTATTCCCAAGTGTCATTGTCTGATACTTGTCATAGTTCCCTTTTAAGAAATTCGATCTATACCATCTGGAGGCTAATTCGGCACTTGCTATTAACTTATCATGCACCTCAGTAACATTACTGCCTGCAGCATGGAACTGGTGGTCGTCTGCATACATATTGATATTAGAATTAGAATTTACACTGTATGTCAGATCATTTTGGAACATGTTCCATATCAATGGTCCAAATGCGGAGCCCTGTGGACATCCCCTTGACCCCCTCTCCCACTCACTCACTGTGGATCCCAACTTCACCCTATTGTACCGATCAGTGAAGTAGGAGTCCAACAATTTTAGACTGTTCCCCCGAATACCATAAGCCTTTAATTTAGCAAGTGTGAGTGGATAGTAGAGGGAATCAAAGGCTTTACTCATGTCCGTAGAAAGAACACCTACCACTTTATGTTCATCTAAAGATATCTTCCAACATGGGAAAAGACTGACAGGGAAATGTAGTTATATAGTTGAACCTCCCAATCACCTTAGGTCCTAATATTTTTTCTGTGAACAAGCTGTTAAAAGTTAGTATAAAAGGTTTTGATAAGCACTGGCAAAAGGTTCCAGTCACGTCATGCAAATAACCCAAAATATGGACCCCTGTGGCTTGACCTCCTGTAAGCAACCACCAAGAATTGACATTTCAGGTGGTCGCTTACAGGAGGTTTGACTGTATTAATAATGATGATTGTTGTAGATGGAAGCCAGTAAAGAATTGTCAACCTGTTTCTTCTCTGTATTCTTTGTAGGAGGAGAAACTATACGAGGGATTATAAACATGACTGGTGCACATGTAGAATTAAACAGAACTATTCCTGAAAGCTCTCCAACAAAGAGCTTTATAATCCGAGGTATTGAGGCAATATTGTGTTCTATGTTATACATTCTAAACTTGTTTAAGGCTTCCATTATTTGATTTCATCCACTTTACACATTGTGCATACATGGTGGTTCACAATAAGAGTTTCTTAGATGTGAAAAGAAAGATCAAGAAAAAGTATAATCAGAGCTGTTTATGTGTTCATAAGGTACGGAGCAGCAGATACAACATGCCCAACAAATGATCAGGGAGAAAATAGAAAGTGAACGAGGTGGGGGAGGAAATTACAATCAAGGACAAAACTGGAACCAGCCTGGCTGGAACCAACAACAGCAGCAACCACATCAGCAGCAACAGCAGGGCTGGTCACAGTATGGTCAGTATGGGCAACAACAGCAATATGGACAGCAACCTCAACAACAACCAGGGCAGCCGTATGGCCAACAGCAGCAGCAGTATGGTCAGCAACCACCGCAGCAACAAGTTAGTGGCTTGTTTATGTTTGAACCTTAAAAAACCAATAACACCAGAAAAATTTCTGGATTGAAGTGTCAAGAGGAACAAGCCAGTCTGAAATGAGAGAACCAAATTGTTAAAAGTACATATTATGTTATTTACTGGGCTGGAGATCTGTATAGGAAAACACACCCAAGTTCTTTGTGCTGGTTTCCTTTTTGCCACTTTGCTCTCTAATGTAGTGAAAAAAACTCCAGACCAAGGATCATATTGTAAAAAGCTGCAGTGGTTATTAATGCTTGATTAGACAATCAGTTCTGAGGTTTTAAGATTCTGCTTTAGAAAATAAAAATAGTAAGTATTATTGGTTTAGGAGTTGGCTTATGAGGCCTGTTTTCTGATGTGATTTGTCAACATGCTTTCCTCATTTCAAAATAATTCTGTTATTTGTGGATTTCTGAGCTTGACTGTACTCTAAGTCTTAAAATTGATAAAAAGGTTTTAAAAGGAAGCAAAGAAAAAGTTATTCTGTACTAAATAACTGTTTGTTTTGCAGGGCCAACAGCAAGGCCAGCAACCTGGTCAGGGTAAGAATATTTTACTTGATTTTCAACAGCACATAATTATGCAATGTATATACATAGTAACACAGCCTTCTCTTAAAGTGGCAACATTTACATGCCTGTGATGTGTTAAAATTTTGGGGTTTTGGTGTCAATGCAGCACAACAGTATTATCACCATTATCAGTAAAGAACAAAAATAATGTTTTTAAATTATGAGTGGAAGGAAAAACTCTTGGAAATTTCATGCTGTTTTAGAGAGTTAGCTGTGTCTGGAATTTTAGTTATTTAGTTAATTTTGATCTCTAAATGACTTATTTTGAGGAAACATTTTGCATTTTTAGCATACTAACCCTGTAAATCTGTGGAGTTTGCTGTTGCTTCTGTTTATTTACAAGAATAATGTTGTGTTTATTATTACAGCTCAAGGCCAGGCAGATTATTCTGCAGCATGGGCAGCATACTATCAACAACTCTACCAACAACAGGCAGTAATGGCAGCAGGACAAGCACCAGGTATAAGAATAATGTAAATTTTTCCCAGAACAGTAAACATCAAACAAGAGCTAAATACTGTCTACATACATGAATTTTCAATTTTGCAAAACATAACACACAAAACAAGATTTTCTTTGCACTTGATTGCAAGTAACTTGGATGCCAGCATTACTCACCAACTAGCTAGAGCTAGGTAGTTAGCCAAGATTGCCAGTGATGGAAGTTGCCTTTAATTCCGTTTTTCAATCCATACAGGTCAACCAGCAGGACAGGGGGGGCAGCCTGATTACACACAAGCATGGGCAGAGTTCTACAGACAGCAAGGTTACTACTACCCCTACCAACAAGCTGGACAGCCTCAGCAACCAGGAGTACCTGGACAACAGCCACAGCAGCAGCAACAACAACCACCACAGCAAGGACCCTCTGGGGGACAGCCAGGGGGACCTCCACCTGGACCCCCTGGGGGACAACAGGGCCAGTAGCAGGAACATAAGTTGTAAAGGTAGGTTTTTACTTATATTGAAAGAGGGAGAAGAAAGGGATAGAAAAAGAGACTGTGTAACTTGATCTGTGCTGGTAGTTCTTAAAAGTTTCCTGTTTGCTTAATATAAGTTGGTTTTTTGTTTTGTTTGTCCATTTGCCCTTTGTTTTTATTTCAAATGAATTGTTCTAGCATGAGTTTGTATTTTTCTCTTCGGCAGACAATTTTTTTTAGTTATTCAATTGAACTGTTACTTTTCTGTTTTTTAACCTTTGTGCCAGTGATGTACATGTATTTAAATTTTAAACATACATGAGCTTGTTCTCTGCTTGGCCTTTAATAATGTTGCAGTTTGAAAGCATCGATCTTTCCATCATTGTTGTCATTTACTAATGATGATTATGAGATTAAAATTATGTAGTAAACCACTAAAATGTAGCCAGAAGGACAAGGCTAAAGTCAGAGAATTGCAGTCAGGTCAGCTGGTGAAATAATGCACATTCTGTCATGATTGAGTTTGATCTTTAAATTTTTATGCTAATATTTAGCAAAGTGGCTGTTATTCATTTCCAATATCTCCTTTGTTATTTGAATTATATTGGGAATTATTTATTTTTACTGGGCTGAAATGGTGCATACAAATGTCACTGTGAATTATTGAGTCCTACCAGCAAATTTTAAAGTTGTTTTAGAAATTATGGCAAGTGCTATTCTAAACGATACCATTTCTATCATACATTTCTTTCTAGGAAGAGAGGTAGAGGTGTCTTCAAGAAAGCTGTTTTTGCAAGGAAGATCTCTTTTTTTTACAAAGGATTTTGGTGTTCTACTCTTAGCATTGATTTCCTATTAGCCTATCTTATAGACATTTTGATTTTTAATATGATTTGCATTTGTAGTCAGCTATCAAATATGCTCTGAGTTTGTAAACATGTATGAATTTACAGGATAGGACACGAAGTAAACCAAATGGGCGTGGTATTAAAGGATACATTTTATTTCTTGTGTGCATTTTGTTGTAATTCTACTATTGCTATTTTTGACTTCACTGAAATAAATCTGCAGGTTTGGTGTTGGATGAAGCTTTTACTTTCCTAGTTGTACAGACCTGTGATTGATTTATAGGGTTAAAAAATAGTCAGGGATATCAAATATTATTATCAGTAGCATTATTTCTTAGTAAAGCTGTTACATTTGAAGGTTTCCTCTGGTTTGATTCTTGTCTTCATTGCTTTAAAAGTCATTGAAATGTTAACTGATACACTGTTGCCAGTGCGTGCTCGTTAGAGTTAGTCTTGTATTCAAATTTGCAATGTTTTGTTAATTTTGTATTGTTGATGCATTGATAATGAAATTGATCGAATTGCAGTGTTTTTATGTATTGTTTGCATGTGGTACATGTTACACTTTACATTCTACAGAAGCAGCGACGGACGTTCTTTATCGTGTCGTTCTTAGTCTCAGTTGACCTTAGGTTAGCAATCTATTGACCTACCTCGTCCTCCCACTTAGCTTATATTAAAAAGGGCCAGTTTTATTAATTATTTCCATGCATTGTTGTTAATTATAAAATGTGTTGCACTTTCTTAAATGCTTAAATTTGTATTGTCACAAATTGATCTGCTGTGGTCATCTTGGCAAGGCTACCAAGGGCTGGCGTAATCACAACGCAAAACACAGGATGGCCTGTGTCTTTTCAAAGAGGAGCTATTTTTGATGTGATCCAGAAGATCAACAGTTTATCATTATCATGGTTATTGTTAGTGTTCTGTTAGAGGTTGCTATTAAGCACTGATATACATTTCCTGTTAAAATTATGGAAGACAGTGAGTCTTTTCAGGTTGTCGTGCTCTTGTATGCTTCGGTTGAATAACCATGTTGCTTTTCAGACTAAAACAACGTTCGGGGAAAATTTGTACATTTGTTGTAAAGCCAGTGGAGACGGTGGAGTTCATAGCTGGCTCCGATAGTCTCTTGCTGATTTTTTAAAGTTTTATCTTTAGTTTTTTTTCTGGTTTTTTTCATTTTTGTTTGTAGCTAGCTACTTGAATTGCTATTTGCTCTGACAACAAAGTTGTTTTTCAGAGGCAGAGCAACTGTTCATCTCAACAGTAAGCTTGTTGTTTGAAGTGATTCTTTGATAACAGAGTTTGATTTGTTCTTGAAAACAATGTTATTGTGTTCAATGGTTTGCCATGCCTTTGTTGTGTTGATTTAATAACTTCATTGTGATATCAGCATCATTTCCTATTTTATCATTAGATCTTTCTGACAGTCGTCGTTCAACTAAATTTTTTCCTGTTTGAGTTCTGAACTGTTTCTTCAAACGTTGTGTTTTCTTGAGTAAATAGTGTTATTTTCCAGACCTACGCAAGCATTGGCAAAGAGTATGCCTCTCCAAGCTCAGTAAGCTTTGAGTTGTTGATGTCTCTGTTAATCTCTATGATATTTTTATTACAATTACATTACTGATCATTGATGGAATGTGCATGCTTCAGAATGCAGTCCCCTATGTTTTCAACTGGGGTTGGATGCTCCTTGTAGATACATTGCACATTACTTGAGTAATTTTTGCTGAATTGTTAACTTTGACGTCCACTACGGGCATGCTGGTAGCTTCAAGACTTTTATTCATCATTTTTATTCTTTTTCACGATATAATGCGATAAGCTATGATCAATTTGTTGTTTGAATTTGACATCTTAAACTTTATAGCATATATTTCAGTTATGACATTAATACTTGCATTCATTGAGTGAAAAGTGTTGGCCAGAGCATATTCTCTCCAACAGTAAGCTTTGAAAGCAGATGACATGCACAGCAACCCTTGTCTTAGGAAGGAATCAAAGGATCTGGTTTGACATATCCACCAGTTCGGTGGATAATTGCTAACTTATTGGTGTTAAAATCATAGTGTCTTCATTTTCCCAGCTTCAATATTTTTCGATAACCTTGTTGTCATTCAGAATAATATTTGAACTGTTTAAACTTCAATTTTCTGCAGTGTTGGTTTCTATGTAACAAAATCGCGTACACACTTGTAAACTAATATTGCTATTTTGCAGAATGAACTAAAGCATTGGTAATTAAACGCGCTCTTCAGTCGCCATGAGTAAGCTTTGAGCGATAGATATTCATAAATATGATTATATTTTATTGCTACAGCCTCATATAGTGTTCGTACTGTTGTCTTATTATGTCGCCCCTGTGGTTTCCATTCTCCCTACTGCAGTGTCTATAGTTTCTTTTACAGCTTTTCCCTTGTTCTTCCATTAACCCGTGTTGGTTATTTTGTCAGTAAATCAACAGAAAGATTTCTTTCTAGGCATATCTTGATCTGCTTCATCCTCATTTTGTATCTCGTGTTCATATCGAGTTTTGTAAACGTTTGTTGGTTAGTTCTGGAACTTCAGGTCTTCTGTGTTTCCTTACAGCATGTGATTGATGTGTTGTATTCATTTTTGTGAATGAGTAGTGTTCTTTTACAGACTAATTTAGCATCGGCAAGAGCCTGCTTCCTCAAAAGTAAGCTTTCTGCAAATTTTTTTGTTTATCTCTTCATTATTTCCTTTATATTAAACCGTTGAAACTAATTGTTTTTAGTGGCTTTTTATTGTGGTAATTGTTTGAGGAAAGAAAAGTCTTGCCTTCCAGTGTCAGCAATATCGCGAAGTATTTAAAGAATTGAATTAAAACGAGGGTGAAGTAATTGTTACTTCTGAGGGTGGAAAAAACTGTTTGGCCAGTTAGAGGCGAGAAACAAGGAGCACGTTTTGAACAACAGTAAGCCAGTGAATCGTTTTTCCCGTTTGCATGACTTTTTATGGAGGAGAGGAAACTCCTTTTGGGGAACAATTTATTGTCTTTAACGTGTGGGTGATTTTTGTTAGTTGATAGTTTACACTGTTTACAGAGTTAACAAGAAACGGGTCCACTGGTGTGGGCTTAGCTGCTTGTGCAGTCCATCCTGGTCAGAGGTGCGCTTGAGTATTTCATAGTGCTTGATTAGGAACGTTTAATATCTATATATTTTTTGCGTTTCTGTGTCTATTCGTTTTATTTCACTACGTAAATGATGTTACTTTTGTTACCCTTCCGATTCTAAAGTTGGGAACGTATTATCAATTCCTATTTTAGCCTGTTCTTGGCATTAATTTTGTAAAACGAAGCGTAATAGTGAACTGCGCTTTTGTTGCGGAGGAGTGAAAAAAACGCAGGGTGTCAAGGTCGGGTCGCATATTGAACCCGGCCAGACCCAATTCTCCCTCGGTTTTTTCATTCTTCCGCTACTATCGCGCCGTTTGATATTTCGCTAAGTTTTGCTAACTGAACTCCTGGAACAGGCTTTTCCTGATTTCAAAACAAACTGATAACCTTTTACAACTAAATTCTGGATAATAAAATGAAATGACGTGTTTACAGCACGGTTGGCCTCTTACCAAGCATCGTTACTTTTTGAACTAAGTAAACCTTCCAATCTTCGTCCCAAAGTGGGTGAGCTGTGATTGATAGTTGAAGTTAACAGAAGGAGGTACAGTCACTCGATCTCTTAGTTTTTTTTTTAATCTAAACATTGTTTAATTTTCTGCTAATTGTATGCTAATTTGCATAGTATTTGCGTTCTGTTGAACCTAAACCTTGGTTACATGGGTTGTTTACGTTGGGTTTTTTGGGTTGTTGTATGATGCAAATAATAAAATGTGGAAACTCTAAAGTTGTTTCCTTTGATTTTTGTCGCGAGTATTTGTTCCTTGGTACACTTTCCTATGAAGTCATCTCAGGGAAAGATAAGCGCGCGTCTGTTGGCCGAATTTTCTCATGGAACGCCCTAAAACCGCCTTCTAAGTGTCAAGCGGGACTTTCATGAGCCGGCGACATACTTAGCGATTTTAGACACCGATATTTGGCGTGTCAAATATCGACAATTTACGCCGCGATCGGCGAATAAAATCGCCAAGTGTCTCCCCAGCATTTCAGGGCTTTCCTAGAGAGCGAAGCGCGAGCGGGACGGGAAGTGCTACGGAATCGTGGTCCCCTTGAGAAGCGTTCATTCTTCTGGAAACGGGTAACGGACTGTTATCAATCCAGTATGAGTGAGTTCTCGATAAGGGCAGCGAATGTCTTTTTTCTTTTGATTTGAAATGTCATGTAAGAAACATGGAAAATATTAACATATGGTTCGCAAACAAAGCTGGTTAAAGAACGTTTCATTGACAAGAAATGCTGTGATTTGACAAAGGTATGAAAAAGACTTGTAGTAATGACTTGAAACATAAGAAATTCGTTGTTTGCAAGCTGTAAACTTAATTTAGTAGCCCATAATTACAGTGCCTGGTGGCCCCTTCGTGGGAGTTCTTTCGAGACTGAATCAAGCGGTTTGCGCTAGAGAAAGAAAACAAACTTCATGTGCAAAATCGAGAAGATAAGTTAACGCCAGTCCACTGACTCGAAGCTTCCTTTTTGGTTATATATTTTTAAATTTTCCAGACGTCAATGAAAATTAGGTGTACTAAGCTTGTATGAGTAATTACTACACGCCCTTGGCAGGAGAATCTCAAGTCGGAACAAACAGCAA